GCCGTCCCGGCGCGCAGGCAGACGCTGCTGTTCAGCGCCACGCTCACCGACACGCTGAAGGAGCTGCAGAGCCTGGCGGCCAACAGCCCGTTCTTCTGGGAGGCGGCGTCTGAGTGAGTCTCCATGAAAACCCCGTCCCCTCTCCGTCATCTTAGAATCAGAGAAGCATGGAATGGTTTGGGTTGGAAGGGACCTTCAGGATCATCCAGTTCCAACCCCCCTGCCATGGACAGGGACACCCTCCACTACACCAGGTTGCCCAAAGCCTCATCCAACCTGGCCTTGAACACTGCCAGGGATGGGGCAGCCACAACTTCTCTGGACAACCTGGGCCAGTGCCTCAGCACCCTCAGAGGGAAGAAATTCTTCCTTAGATCCAATCTAAATCTCCCCTCTTTCAGTTTAAATCCATCGCCCCGTGTCCTGTCACCACACACCCTTGGAAAAAGTCCCTCTCCAGCTTTCCTGTAGGCCCCTTGTCTCCTCGCTGTCTTCCATCTCCCTCCTGTTCCACCTTCCCTCACCAAACTGGTGGCTCCTGGTGCTGTGTGTTCCCATCCCGGCAGGGTGCGGACGGTGGATGAGCTGGACCAGCGCTACTTGCTCGTTCCCGAAGTAGCCAAGGATGCGTACCTCGTCCAGTTAGTCCAGACCTTCCAGGACGAGCACCAAGACTGGTCCATCATTATCTTCACCAAAACCTGCAAGTGAGTGGATGGTTGTTCCCCATCACTCTTAATGGATGTGCGACTTTGTGTTTCCAGTTGAGATCTCAAATTCCCACTTTACTGGGGGTTAGGCTGGGATGGTATTTGCTTCCTTAGCCTGTTCTGAAATTCCGTAGGGAAACAGCTTTTCCTTTGAGCAGTCCCGGGGGTGAGCAGGTGTGGAGGGCGTGTCCGTTCCCCCCCTCTGCCCGAGCGCTGAGGTGACTCACTGGTGTGAGATGACTCACTGGTGTGAGGTGACTCACTGGGAGGGCTGCTCGAGGAACCCCAGCTCCGTCCCGATCCATTGCCTTTATATTCCCCTGTTATATTCTGATTTTTTTAAGTATTTTTTGCCCTTCAAGGGACTGCCAGGTCTTGAACATGATGCTGAGGAAATACAACTTCCGTTCCGTGGCTCTGCACTCCATGATGAAACAGGTGAGTGATGGGCAGCTCTGGGAGCTGGATGCTTCCAGCTGCTCCCCTGAGCCAGGCGCCCGTCCGAGCCCTGCAGCCCCCGTGGCTCACCACGGCCCTCACGCAGACTCTTCCCTTCGCAGCGGCAGCGGTTTGCGGCTTTGGCGAAGTTCAAGTCCAGCATCTTCAAGATTCTCATCGCCACCGACGTTGCTGCCAGGTGAGGGAAGAAGGTGGTCTCTGCCACCAAAGGATGCCAGCCTGCTTTCTGAGCACCAGCACCTCTGCGGGGATTTAGGCTGGATTTCGCACGAGGAGAGCTTTGCATCCCCCCCTTGGGTAGGACGGGGTTGTTCACGTCCATCGTGGGACACTCTGAGCTGCGTTTTGGGGGCCCGTGTGACGTAGCTCTGATCCTGCCCTGTTCTGCTGCAGCAGGAGGGGGTGTGTTGTGGCAGGAGAATGATTTCCATGGGACTTAGGGTGTTCTCTGGCTCCGGGAGGGAAGGGCAGGCTGCAAAGTGACAGCTGCATCCTGAGACTGCTGGAGAGCTGCAGGGGGAGAGAGTTTGGCTTAGAACCAGCCCGAGCCAAGAAAGACTGTACATTCCTGGGAATGTGGGGCTCTTGGAGAAGGCAGAGGACAGGAACTTAAACAGCATGTGTTAAAACAGTGTTTCTCAACTTGTGTTCTCTTTC